GAGAGCCTTGAGTCTACAGTAGACTCCATTTTTAAACTCCATTTGACAGCCTGCCTGCATCAATAACCAGCAGCCATTATTACAGCAAACAGATCCCCAAAGAAAAAAAGACTTTGGAGTCACATTTTAAACCCACACATTTTAAAACAACAGAGAGGTCACAGTACACAAACCCTAGAAGCCACAGAACGCAAAAATAAATACATTTTACATTTTAAAATTACAGTCTAATTTTCACTTCCAATTTTATATTACAGTCTACTTTTCACATTATAAATCCACACCGCAAGACCCATCAGGGCACAGAAACATAACCCTCCCACCTAGCCCTCCCTCCCTCCACCAAGCTGCAAAAAAACCCTGTACGGTACAGTAAATACAGTGTACTCACCCAGAACAGGCAGTCTCTCTGTTTAAAAAAAGAAAGTCAAACATACAAAAATCAAAAATTTAAAAAAAGTCCCAAAAATACAGTCCATACAGTATAGTACCAGGCAATGCCAGGCAGGTCTGAAGACTCTCTCCCTAACCCACTCTCTAACTGCTTGGACGAGCAATGTTGCAGACAAACAGCCTCTTCGCTGGCCAACGGTTAACAGAAAGTTCAAATTTTGCGCTTTCCCTGCCTCCCCCACATTTTTTGTTCGTATCTTGAAGCTCCGTTCACAAGTAGAAGCTAAATTTTGTGTATGGAGCTGTTTGTAAGTTGGATCGTTCGTAGGTAGGGATGTTCATAAGTAGAGGTTCCACTGTATATAGTTCATTCATCTTCATTCATCGTGGCAAAATAGTACGGACTTAGGAAAAGAGAGGACCCCATCTTTAAATGTGTGGGATCATTTTTGGATAACAGGGCCCCATTAACATTTCAGAGTTAAAATTGTTTTATCTTACCTGTTAAGGTTTACCTCATTTTTCATCTGGAATTTTCCGCTGCTGGGGAAGGGACACCTTTATTGCACTGAGAGGCTTGCTGTTACTTACTGGGCGCTATTTGGAAGCAAGGTAAGATAATGCATGCATCACTGGTGAATGGGCGGCGTTGTTATTAGTTTAAGATTACCATGTTGTGGAGTAAAAATAAACTTATTGGATAGTTTAGTAATAACTGGTATTATTGCTGGTGTGGTAAGGTTCCTAAGGCTTAGAGCTGTTTCCTTATTTACATTTTTCTTGATCTGTTCCAGATGGTGAAAAAATCCATGTATATGAGCCTTTAAAGGCCAGCCTGTGTACATATTACATAAAAAGTATCTATTAACTTGTAATGTCCTAAAAAGTAATAAACATTCAGTATGAAAGGAAATTGCTTTTCTTTGTTCCGAATATCTCTGGTATTCTAAGTTGCTTTTTATATATGTTGTCTTTTGGAACCTAAGCATTGTATACAAATGCAAAAGTACAGTGGGGTCTCGACTTACGAACGGTTCTACATACGAACTTTTCGACTTACGAACCCGCCCGATAGGAAATTACATACTCAACATACGAACTTCCCTCGAGTTACGAACAGGAAAAAAGTGCCCCCTCCCTCCCCTTAGAGGCTTCTGGAGGGGGAAAAAAGGTCAGAAACTTAAAAATAAATAAAAGAAAGTCACTTACCAGGCCTTGGTAGCCCCCGAACTGCAGGAAAAAGAGCCGCAAACAGATAAAAGCCGACACCCAGAAGGGAGCCTGGCAGCCATTTTCTGCTTTTCTCTGCTCCTGCCCCCTCCTCTCCCCGCCTAACAGCTGATCGGCTGGCTCTGAAGAGGCTTGGGGAGGCTTGCTCAGCACCTAAAAAGCCTGCCTGTGTGTCTGTGTGCTGAAAAAATCAGCACAACATGCTTTAAAACATGCTTTAAAATTGGCTTCGTTGAAAAAAAAGATTTCAAAAGTGCTTTTAAAACTGTTCCTTGCCTCCCCCCTTCATTTCCTGAACTTTTCTTGACCTAAGGAAAAAAAGAAAAAATATCTCCCTCTAGTTGCAGAAGGAAAGATAGAAGCTTCCCATTAGTTTCTATGGACGAAAAAGATTAAATGGTTTTCAATGCATTCCTATGGGAAATGCAGATTTGACCTACGAACTTTTCGACTTACAAACTGCCTTCCAATACGGATTAAGTTTGTAAGTCGAGACCCGACTGTAGTTGTGTTGGTCCGTGAGGGAGGGGAAAAAACCCACAATACTATTAGTCAACCAAAGTGCTTGAAAAGTGAGCAACCTTGCACAGTTGGTGGCATTTATTTTGCTTCTAATAATGATATTGTCCTTCTGTAAACAAGAGCTCTAAGTACATGTTAAGATATAAACATGCTGTATGTCCAGTGTTAACTTCCTTCCCATTCCCCTCCAATCGCCCTTATTATAGGAACATAATTTTAGCATTTGCTGGTACCCTGAGACACGGCCTCATTCCCAACTTGCTTGGCCAAGGGACCCATGCCAGATACAATTGCCGGGATGCGGTGTGGTGGTGGCTGCAGTGTATACAGGATTACTGTAAAGTCACTCCAAATGGCATTGACATTCTCAAATGTCCTGTATCCAGAATGTATCCCACAGACGACTCCCCTCCTCTGCCGCCAGGCCAGAAGGTAATTATATCTTGCAATTTGCAGCTTGGCATTTCTCCTCTGCAGAGAAACCTCCTTGGCAGGCCCCTATTTCTGCTCATGTCATGTTGATTGGTTGCTCTGTTAAGGGGTGATTATTTTTTCTTCCAAGGAAGATGAACTAAATAACATGTGGTCCCTTCCCTACTCTGTTGTTCTTTGGTAAAGACAGCGTATAACACTATTTGGGGTCTAAATAGCATTTTAAACAGATTGAACATGACTGGATGGAATAAGCTGGGTTGATGTTGTCCTGGTCTTTGGTTAGAAAGAAGATGAAGGAATACTTCTTCTCTATAGCAGTGCAAATTCCTTGTTGAAAGGGTTGAAAGAAAAAGCAATCAATAATATATACAAACTTTAAAAAAAACTGAGAAGCCTGATACAAACACACACTATTATAAAACTGAATACTGTATGTGTTTTGTAATATTCTGTCCTTTTTTGTGGAAGTTCATATTTGTTTAAGAGTGATCAGTGTGATAGCCTCTATGATCTTAGGGCTAAATCCAGCATTTAGATTCAGGGAATGAACTGAATTTAACACTTACATAAATCCTATTGATTTCAAAGATGTGCTCTGTTTGGAAGTAAGCTGCCATGAGGTCACCCTGATTTAAAGTGACCCCTATGAATGAGTGACTTCCAAAAAATCCTGTGCTTAACAGTTCTGCTCAATTCAAGACTGTAGATTTATTTATGGAATCAATCCATCTTCTATTTGGTCTTCCTCATTTCCTGCTGCCTTCAGCTTTTTCCATCATTATTGTATTTTCCAATTAGTCTTGTCATGATGTGCCAAAAGTATGATAGCCTCAGTTGCATCATTTCTGCTTCCAGGCATGATTTTATATAGGACCCACTTGTTCATCTTTCCCGCTAGTCCAGTCTAGTTAGTTAATTTCATTGTATTTTAGAACAGTGGACGCTAGATGTGTCTCATCAGTATTTTAAAGCCCTATGTAGTGGAATTCTAAGGAAACTTGTTTCTAGATTATGACGATGGCCTTATTTTTCACCCTTCTCCTTTTTGTCTTTGAACCACCCTAAACTCAGGATCAGCCATTGTATGAAGTGATACAGGAAGCTATGCAGAGACATATGCAAGGCATAGACTTTCGAGAAAGGAATGCTGGTCCACAGATAGACCGAAATATGAGAGATGAAGGTAGGTGACCATCTGAAGAATGTTTTCAAGGCTTTGATATTTTGAAGTTGATTTTATGTTCCTTTATTGCAGTAAAATTAGGTGATCCTTCCTTTAACCACTTGAAAAATTACTTTGAAAATCTACTTCTAAACCTTGTAAGACAATCTGCCAATATGCTACTTCTAAAATTTTATGCACCAATATTTAAGGTATCACTTCTGCTAAGAGGCCCTTTTTTATATAGCTACCAATTTAGACCTTCTTATTAACTATCATAATATCTTGAGTATTAGGATATTATTTCCCCTCCCCCATGGCTCCTTGGAAATTAAGTGGATTATATGGTTGGCAGGTTTTAATGTGGCAGCAGGTGTGGATATGGAAACTGGCTTTATATATGGAGGGAACCGTTTTAATTGCGGGACGTGGATGGATAAGATGGGAGAGAGTGAGAGAGCTCGCAATAAAGGGATCCCAGCAACTCCAAGGTACACCATAAAAGACTTTGCAGCATCGTAGACATCTTAAATAAATCTGCATAAATATTCTAATGCATTATTTGCTTTTTGCTTACTTTTCAAGTGTGCAAGCCAGGGTGGATAAAAATCAATGATTTTTTTTAATAAATTGATTTAAATTACAATTTAAATTTAAAATGATATTTTAATTTAAATTTTAAAAAGCAATTTAAATCACATCCGCCCTGCAGGCTAATAAAAAATACTATCTTTGAATTACTTTTGGTAAGAAAAATTGCATTTTCGTTTTGTTGTGAAAAGTTACATTTCTGACAGAGCATTTCTGGAACAGGGAAGGGGAACATGTACAGTAGGTTGCCAGACATTGTTGGACTGCATCTTTCCTCATTTCTAGCCAGTATAGCCGGCGGAGTGGGATAGCAGGAGTGGTGGCTCAACAAAATCTGAAAGACCAGATATTCTCTACCCTCATTCAGTGCAAAAATGTGCTAAAAATATGGATGCCTGCAGAGTACCAGTTTTCCTTGAGTGCACTAAGTACAATTAAAGTAACTGAGCATGAACAACTTTGTTCACAGTCTTGCATGAGGAAAAAAGTGTTATAAGTTGTTATTTTGTCTGTGATCAGAACCGTACAGTGGACCTTTGACTTACGGAATTAATCCATATTGGAACGGTGGCTGCAAGTCGAAAAGTCTGTAGGTCGAGGCTCCATTGACCTACAATGCATTGAAAACCGATTAATCCATAACCGGCCGTTTTTGTTCCATTTTGGGGTTTTTTTTCTGGTCTGTAGGTTGATTCTCCGGCTGCATCGAAACTACATTTTGCGGCCAGAGAAGTCTGTAACTCGAAAAGTCTGTAAGTCGAGGGTCCACTGTATTCTCTGAGTAGTAATACAGCCATAATTTAAAGTATATTAAAGTGGTACTTGGAATGATCCAAGTTGTGCACTCTTGGTTGGGACTCTTCTCTGAATGAACATCCTGAGGTTGCAGTGTGAATATAACTTATTGGCTGAAATCCAGCAGTATGTCACAGCTAAAGTGGGCCCTCGGAATCAATGCGGATTTGGGGTTTGTTAACATCTATGTCAAGTTCTATTGGTTCAGACAGTCTGCTCTGGATTTCAGCCAGTATCTTCCTTATACAGTGGTGCCTCACACAACGATGTTAATTGGTTCCAAAAAAATCAACGTTGTGTGAAACATCGTTCTGTGAAACACCATTTCCCATAGGAATGCATTGAAAACCGGTTAATCCATTCCAATTGGAACGGATTGCCATCGCTGAGTGAAAATCCCCATAGGAAACATCGCTGTGTGAGGCAGCAAATTTAACAGAAAAAGGCATCGTTGTGTGAATTCATCGTTGTGTGAGGCACTCGTTGTGCGAGGCACCACTGTAATTGGACTTTAAATCTGTGCTGCCTGTCTTTCTTTAGAGATGGTTCTGCTGTGGAAATTGTTGGTTTGTGCAAATCGACAGTTCGCTGGTTACTGGAGTTGTCTCGGAACAATGAATTTCCTTATTCTGGCGTTACTGTGACAAGACATGGTGAGAAGTCATACTTAAAATGTACAATTAAGAAAGGAGAAAAATGTACTACTACAGCTGAATGCAGTTGTCTATTTTTATTTTTGTTACTATTTTGTTCTTGTCTCATAGTTCTGGTAATAACATTTGAACAGTGTTTTCACTTCAGATACATTATCTGCTTGTAATACGTACACAAATGTTAAAGGTAAAGCAGCAGTTTTAGAAGAAATCCAGTGTTAGACCAAGCTAAAGTGGATCCATTGAGATTAGTCACTGATTTATGTAAGGGCATTGATTCCAATGTATCTTCCCCAGCTTGGGTTATTACACATTATTACTAATTCTGCAACAAATAAGGATAGTAAATAATTCCCACTGATGTTAAAATTTTATGAAAAGCCTATCTTTTTTTATATTGTACTGTTTTCCAGGGAAAAAAGAGACAATTACATACGATCAATGGAACAGAAAAATCCAAGCACACTTTGAAAAGCTGTTCTTTGTCTCTGAGAACCCATCAGATCCCAATGAGAAGCATCCATCACTGGTTCATAAGCGGGGCATCTATAAGGATAGCTGTGGAGCATCAAGCCCTTGGTGTGATTATCAGCTACGGCCAAATTTCACCATAGCCATGGTTGTGGTATGTGTTGTGGAACTATATTGCCCAATATTCTCTTTCTGTTAATATTAAAATAGTCTCGCATTTTTCTTCTTTGTGAATGCTTTCCAAACTTATTTCTGGGTTATCTTTAATGCTAAGCAAAATATGATGGAGTAGGCGGTCACTGAACTTTAGCTGTGAAATAATCAGTATTCCCCCAAGTTTTTAATATGTTTTTAGATCTGTTAACTGGTTTTCACATTACCATGATCGTTTAGTGTTCCTGAGGTACAAATAAACCAGTTAAGTGCTGAGGGCAGGAAGTTTTGCTTTTATCACACGAACAACAGTCGATTGCGGGTGGTGTGTTCTTCATGTTTGCATCAGTGGGTACTCATTACCCTTTGCTCGTACAGAAGACCTGTTGCTTTTAGAGGGAGGATCTCCCGTGCACGCAGCTGCAAACCAGAGAGAGCGCGGAGTGCTGTGGCAACAGAGCATTATGTCCCACATTTATGTAATAGGATTCTGTCCTAAATGGCCATTGTAGGTTACACAAAAATGGGGGGGGGCTTGTTTGTTTGTTTGTTTTGGGGGGGGTTAGCTACCTTTCAACTTGTACTAGGCTGGGATACTTGGTGGTTTAGGCATCAGGCTGCGGCACCAGAGGCTAGGAGTTTGATTACCCACTGGGACTTCCAGAGAAACAAGTCTGTGTGGCCTTGGGCAAGCTGCACCATCACAGGATGAACCCCGGAAGAAGGGAATCGTAGACCACTTTCGAGTACTGTCTACCTAGAAAACCCTGAAAACAGTCAGCATAAGTCAGAATTGACTTGACAGCACACAAACATATGGAGTCTTCATCAGGCTGTGGACCAGTATATTGTGGATAATGCAATATATATACATAAAGGTCCCAAAAGTCATGGTAGAAGTCTACGCCAGGTCCCTTTCTTAAAGTTGAGTTTTAAAATGCAGGCTGCAAACACAAGTCAGGAATGTTGGTTTCAAATTCCAACCCTGTCAGTTTCAAATTCCAACCCTGGTGGCCACTGGTTAGATTTTCTCTCCTAACTCATCAGACATAAGGCTGCCAGGTATTATTCCACACTTTCTCTTTCCCCCATCACCACCTTTTTTTTTTCCAATCTCAGAGTTCCTATTTGACAGAGAAAAAAGTTTACACAAAAATGTGGCAAAGCCCCATTGGAGAAATGGGAATAAAATTTAGTTTGTTCACTAGGTAATGCCAATGGAAGCGCAATTAATAGGATTACTTTAGTGATTGGAAACAGATATTTTCTTCAGTTTGCCGCCTTGCTTGGCTGATGTTAAGTGTCCCTTTTGTCTTCTAGACAGTGCTTTGGGTTTCTATTCAGAGAATTGCCCCATGCCTCAGAAGAAAAAAGACCAAAGTTGTTTGGTCCTTACATGATACAAAAGTAAGGGCAGGAGATACCTTTAGTAGACAATTTGAATTTTTTTTAACTTTTGTCCTATATTAGTCTTCATCAGGCTGTTCACTAATATATTGTGGCTAGTTTGATGACATATTGGCAGAATTAAAGCATGGACAAAATGCTAAATGTGTATTACTAACTTATTTGACCAGTTTTTAATTAGTATTTTCCTTCTTCTTCCCCCCCCCCGGTTTCTTTTTTGTTATGATATTTAAAGGCACCTGAAATGTTCTCCATTGAACGTGCTTGGAAGGCACTTGAAATGGCAGAGCAAAAGCTACTCGGTCCACTTGGCATGAAGACTTTAGACCCTGAGTAAGTATGATAGGAGATTCATGGTGTCCTCAGAAGAGTGTCAAACTAGGAGTCAGGAGACCTGGCTTCAAATCCCACTTTGTCATACAGGACAAATGTGAGGAGTTATACTTCTATGCCCTTCTCTGAACATCTCAAATACCCAGAAACCCGTATTAGGGTTTCTCTAAATTGGAAAGGATGTGACAGTACGTAGCAACAAGTGAGTCCCATTCTATCTCATACAGGATTCCCTGGCCGAAAAAAATTGTTAAATTCTTAAAATAAGTCAAGTTCTGCATGGCATAAACCTTTTTAAAGCTTCTTAACTGAACATTTGATATCCACTGAATCCAATTGGGGGAGGGGATTAAATTCTAGCTTTCAACTGAAACTGCTATATGGAGTTTTGCTGAATGCTACCATGGAGCATATACAGTGGTACCTCGACTTACGAACTTAATCCGTATTGGAATGGCATTTGTATGTTGAAAAGTTTGTAAGTCAAGGCAAGATTTCCCATAGGAATGCATTGGAAACCATTTAATCTGTTGAGGCTGTTTTTCGTTCGTATGTCGAGGCGCTGTTCATAAGTAGAGGCATTAGTTCCCATAGGAACTAATGCAAAGCCGGTTAATCCATACTCTACCACTAGGGGGAGAATTTTATTTTTTTTTCTTCTTTTGACCTAAGATGAACTTAGGTCAAAAAAAGGGCAGAAAAGGGTTTTTTTTTTATTTGTAAGTCGAGGCTCTGTTTGCAAGTCAAAGCAACATTTTGCGGATGGAGCTGTTCGTAACTCGAAACATTCCCAAGGAGACAAGTCGAGGTACCACTGTACATGATTTCTGGAAACCATTGCTTTCAAGTGACACCATCTATTGTACAGTGGACCCTTGACTTACAGACGGCTTGACTTACAGACTTTTTGAGTTACAGTTTTTTTTCTTCTTTTGACCTAAGATGAACTTAGGTCAAAAAAAGGGCAGAAAAGGCTTTTTTTTTCATTTGTAAGTCGAGGCTCTGTTTGCAAGTCAAAGCAACATTTTGCGGATGGAGCTGTTCGTAACTCGAAACATTCCCAAGGAGACAAGCCGAGGTACCACTGTACCTCTGGAAACCATTGCTTACAAGTGACACCATCTATTGTAATGTTGTTTTCTACAAAGACCCAATGAACTAGCAACTACCAAGAAGTCCTGTCATCAACAGCACCAACTCAGGTCTTGCAAGCTGAAGATCATGGCTTCCTTTAATAAGGCAACTAAATTCATATCCAGTCTTCCTCTTTACCTGTTGACTTCATCTTTTCCCAGTCTTATCTGTTCCTATGAGTCTTGCCTTATGCCCAAAGGAGATAGCTTCAATTTAGATGTTTTTGCTTCTAGAGAGAGTCCAGGCTTTATTTGACCTAGCACCCACTTATTTATCTTTCTGGTGATCCACGGTATCCAAAAAGCTCTAACACCACTTCTTGAATGAATTGCTTTTTTCTTTCCCTTGTGAACTTTTTGCTTGTCTTTTTTTGTTTCAGTGACATGGTTTACTGTGGTGTTTATGACAACGCCTTAGATAATGATAACTACAATGTGGCCAGAGGATTTAACTACCATCAAGGACCGGTACGATTTGTTCTTCAGCATTTTTCACCAGTAGATTTTGAATTTTCTTTACCAGGAATCTGTTTCTATGATCCTGTGTTTGTTGCTTTGTTTCTTTTTCTTTTCTTTAAGGAATGGCTTTGGCCCATTGGATATTTTCTTCGTGCCAAGTTGTACTTTTCCAAGCTAAAGGGTCCAGAAATCTACGCAAAAACTGTCTTTTTGATCAAGAATGTTCTTTCTCGCCATTACGTTCATCTTGAGAGGTATTCATTTGTACAACTTAAAATTATTGCTGTGGGACACTGTGACTGAAATTCTGTTGCTTAGTTTAGTAAATTACAGCTAGAGTAGGCCCACTAAATAAGTTCCATGTATTCAAATGGGTCTTCTCTAATTGTGGTTTACTATGCTAAAAAAACAGGATTTCAGCCTATCTGTTATTGGGTACTGAAGCCTATAGCAAAATTAGGAGGAAAGGAAGGAAAGTGTTTGCAGATGTTCAAGATGTAGGGGTGATGGACACATTGAGATAAATATAAACATCTTTATTTATTTATTTATTTATTTATTTATTTATTTATTTATTTATTTATTTATTTATACCCCGCCTATCTAGTCATTTAAGCTACTCAGATACAACGAGTAGCTTGAATTGGAACTAGGCTTATTAGATCTAAGTTATAGTCAGAAAAGTTAGACCAGAGACAAGAAAATTGCCATAAAGATTTCACTAAACTAACAAGACAGCGAAAATAAAATCAACCAGCGAGAGAAGAGAAACCAAGCAACCAAAGTATTTATACCCCGCCTATCTAGTCATTTAAGCTACTCAGATACAACGAGTAGCTTGAATTGGAACTAGGCTTATTAGATCTAAGTTATAGTCAGAAAAGTTAGACCAGAGACAAGAAAATTGCCATAAAGATTTCACTAAACTAACAAGACAGCGAAAATAAAATCAACCAGCGAGAGAAGAGAAACCAAGCAACCAAAGGGGCATACACACTATATCATCTTAATTATTTTCAGTCTCCACCTAATGATTATTTGTAGAAGGGGAAGCCATATTAGTCTGTGCAAGCATTATAGGTGAAAACAACATACATATAAAGAATTAAAAAAAAAGACAAAAATGTAATGGCACTTTAAAGACTAACTTTGCATCTGCATGTCCCCCAAAAAAGAATATAAAAGTTAGTGTTTAAAGTGCCAGCACATTTTTTTCCTTTTTAACTCTTTATTTGTATATTGTTTTCACAAAATGATTATTATTTATAATTTTGCTTGGCCTTATTTTCTGCTTGTTAACCTACAATTAAAGAAACTCCAGTTCTAGCATCTTCACATCAGTGCAAAAATATAAATATTCTGCAACATTTTGAAAAGGCTAGGACTGAAGTTAGAAATATCTCTGAGGAAGAAAATATCTCTGAGGAAAAAGTGTAGTCAAAATACATTGAGATCAGTGGAGTTTTCTTTCCTCCATCTAGAACTCTCTGTTCTTTTTCCTGTGATGAGAAATCTCCCGTTTTTTATTAATACAATAATTTTTGTAAACAATTAGAAATACAGGTACATTGTCCAGTTCACATCATTCCGAAGATACTGATAAAGACTAATCCGCTTGTGAATTTTCCTTTACCTGTGCAAGATGTGTTCATTTAATTCGGTGGTTCCCAACCCAGACGCTCTTGGACTAGAACTCCCAGAAGCCTTCACCGCTAGTGATGCTGACAACATTTTCTGGGAATTGTAATTTTCCCAACTTGGACTCCCAACTTGGACCCAAGGTTGGGAACCACCCATTTAACTGAATAAATGAAAACACTTTGTTATTCTTTCTTTTGTTCTAGATCTCCTTGGAAAGGTCTTCCAGAACTGACTAATGAAAATGGTCAATACTGTCCTTTTAGTTGCGAAACTCAGGCCTGGTCAATTGCTGTGATCCTCGAGGTTCTCTATGACTTGTAGAAGTGACTGTCGTTTTTCTTTTCTAAGCGCTAGCTATTGTCTTGGATGCAGGCAACTACAATGTCACATGGCTTTTTAAAGTGTCCTGGTTTTAGAAATACGTTGTGTCTGCATGTCCCAAACACTTTTAGATGCCCGTTCTTTAGGAATTGCAATGTAATTTTTAAATTAATCATGAAGAAACTGAAATGGAAACAACCATCACTGAGAAGACTCTCAGATATTTAGAGCGTAATACAATTTTAACAATACTGTAAAGAATTTAAAACTCAGAATCATTCGCATGCAGCAAGATTGTATTTTAGAGGCCTACAGAATAACAACTTATTTTTTAAAAAAATCTTCAAGATTTTTTTAGCCTCACTTTAACAAGGGGGGATATTACACAGGACAAGTATGGACAAGTCAGATTTTGGCAGGGGTATTAAGATTTTGCACACTTTGGTATGCCCTTCTTGTTCCTACACAGTTAATTGGACTGCTCAGGCTTACATTGTCACGGCGTGCCCATGCCATAAGATGTAAGAGTCTCTTTGTCTGATGGAACCTGTTACACTAAAGGAAATCTCTCACCATTTACTGCGAACCTGCTTAAATCAGTAAAATAATCAGAAGGGCCATCTGTGAATTGACACATGGCCTTCTGAAAGCAACTACCAATTTAGGAACCATTTTGCAACCACCTCCGCATGATGGCTATTTGTACATCTGCCCTGAGCCATCTGCAAGGAGGGAGTTGCTTTTTTAGCAGGAAGTTGCAAAAGGTTTCTTAAGGCCCATTTGTTCTAGTTATTTTCAGTAATTCTGTTTCGAAAGCAACTGGAACTCAGTATCCTGTGCCATTTCAGTTAATTGCAGTTAATCAGCAAATCCAGATTAGGTGATTGATGTCCTCTTCTACAGAAGGAAAAGGTCAGTCATGGTTTGAGATGTAGTTTGGTGACAATGCAGATTTTGCTGCCCATTTTTAATTTTTGTATGTAATAATAATTTTATAGTGTACTTTAATAATTTCAGCACTGTTTTAATGTCTCTCTGCAGAAGAAAAACATGTAGGTGAAGGTGTGTCGAGCACATGCTTATAGTAAAGGCATGCATGCAAACAATTTAGAAATAATATTATGCTGCTATATCATGGTATGCATTGCCTTTTAAAAGCCATTGTTTAATTTGTTCATAGTGGTACTTTGATACTATGAATAATTTGAAATACCTGAATTGCGAACACTTGCACTGCTTTTCCATTTAAGAAACATAATTATGTGAGTGAATTCTATCTTATAGTTAAGATTAAGGATTTCTATTTTTTTTATTAATAAAGGATAAAATTGTACGGTAAAAATGTAGTTTTGACATTTCTAACCATTTTCAGCCATGGTAATGAGCAGCCAATTACTATCTTAAGTGTTCAGTTTTCTCATATCTTTTTTAAAAAGCTTTTTTACAAATTAGATGCTATCCAATTTCTTTTTTAATAACCCTGTACAAGGGGGGGGAGAGACTTTAGTTTTAAATTGAAAGACATACTCTTGTTGCATTTTAACTAAGAAAAACAGTTCTGACTGCATTTTTACAACTATTTGCCTGGGAATAAACCATTTGGGGTTTACTTTTGACTAGACCTATTTGGATTCACTCTGTTACATACTGGGACTGAACACCAGCATCCAGTTTAGAAATTAGAACCTGTTTATATGACCAAGAGATTATCTGCATTATACTCTTTGAAGCAAGTACCTTGGAAGGAAGTAGTTACATCAGAGCAAATGAAGGCGTTGTCCTTAAAAATAACTCCACCTAAATTATCATTTGGCAGATAATATTGATGATTGTTATCTTTTTGGCCCTATGAAATGGCAGAAATTATAGTTAGGTACAGGGGATCCTGTTTCTAAATTACTGTGCTTTAGTACTGAAACCTTAATGGGTGACTCTTTGAGCCACACTAGACATTAACCTGGCACATTCATCTGTGTGGAGGACAGAAGTGCCCCACTTAAAGAAGGGAATGTCTGGGTTTTAATAACAACAAAAAAGCTAGCCTCAGATTGTCTCTCTCTGGTGCATCTCACTCCCAAAGCTGTTTATTTTCAGCCAAACTCTAGTACTAGGGTAAAATTGCTTAAGGAACAGGTCTCCAGAGAGACAAGTGAGAGGGAACATTCAACTACCCTAGTCTTGTATGAGCCTTTCATTATTAATATTGGTCCCACCACATTTTTCTTTCTTGGTTTGGGCCAGTCCAACACTGTCAGTAATGCATCAGTGCCTAGATGGGCCTGGACTTTCAAGAAGTTTGAAAAAGTTACATTTATTTCTGGAAAATTCTATATACCATTATGAAGTTCAGTGTGCATAAAACTGTATTTGTACCAAATGTATATTCATATTATTTGGCAAAAAAAATCTTGAATGGCAAAGTGTCATCAGGTCTTCCATTCTGTTGAAGTTTTGTTGGTTGCACTGTCTCGTCTGAAAGTCATATGCATTTCTCAAGCTGATAATATTTTTGTACTGTAATGGTAAAAATGCTTAAATATATCTGTCTACATTTATATACAAATAACGTACATAAATATTTTAAGTATGTAACAATAACAAAAATGTATACATGTTAAAATGTTAATATGCTTTACAAGGAAAAAATTAAGCATGCTGATCTTAACTGTTACTCTTTACATTTCCTTGGCTTAGACTTGGTTGTAGAGAAAAAGGATATTTTCAGATAAAATTGTCTAGTTTATTACTTGGCAATTTCAGGGATTAATAATCTTAGGTTATGCCATGGTGGAGAATAAAAAGAAAATCTAGTGTGGAAATTGTACTTATAATATGTGATAAGAAGTGTTTATTAAGATTGACAAAACAGCAGATTACTATATACTGCAGTTTACAGTTTTCTCTAATAGGCGTTGTAAAGTTAACAGGCACACCAGCCGTATGGTTAGCAAAAGTTTTTTTGTAGACAGAATGAACAAACCAGGGACACACATCTCCTATAATCTACTTTATGGCGTAACTCCTAGCAGTCCACGTTTCGTTCTCTTAACAATGGAGCGAGGCCATCTGGCAATCACATCTGTACACGTTTGCTTCACAGCTCAAAAAGCTTTGCGGTGTTCATTTCATTTGTGTTTATCAAGCCTGGAAATCATTCAAAAGCGAGTCATGGGAATACTGCATGTGGTACAATGAGAGGTGTAACTGTTGCGCAGAAAAGTCCTGTGTGTCCGGCCCAATTATTTTTGTATTCTTCTGCAGTTAGTTATGAGTGACATGCAATAAAGTCTGAACAAAACAGCCATTTGCCTTCATTTATTAATATCCTCAGAACTGGAGTGATGATGGCACTGAATCCTAAGAAAAACAGTGGGAAGAATGGGACATATTCATGCTTGTACTATGAGGCAGAAGATTCACCTGAAAATGAGAATGGTTAGCATAGGATTGAAAACTAACATCAGCAATGGGGGGAAATTACATGAGTTAGTTTTTTCTTGTAGATGCCTTTCTTATCAAAGCACATGAATGCTCTGGAATTGTGGTGGTTTATTGGGAATTAGGTTGTGTCTGCCAGCAGACAGCCTGACTATGAGATTCAGTGTAGTGTCGTGGAGGACAGTGCTGGACTGAGAACTGGGAATTCCAAGGTGTCATCCCCAGTGAAGACCCAGAGGCATGCTCATGGTGACCAACTTCTGCTGCCCTGTGAAGGAATGCCACATACACTGCCTTTAGCTCACTGAAGAAAATAGGATATTCATCATAATCTTAGAACTGCAGAGCTGGAAGGGACCCTATGGATCACCAAGTCCAGCCCCAGTGAAGGAGACACAGTGGTGAATCAAACTCCCAACCTCTGGCTCCACAGCCAGATACTGTAAATGTGAATAAAAACTCACAGATACAGTGGTGCCCCGCAAGATGATAATTCATTCCATTGAAATCGCTGTTTTGCAAAAACATCTTGCGAAAAGTGTTTCCCCATTGGAATGCATTGAAATCCGTTTAATGCATTCCAATGGGGAAAAATCGTCGTCGTCCAGTGAAAATCACCCATAGGGAAGTCATTTTGCAAAGCACTGATCAGCTGTAAAATCTGTCTTGCGAAAAACGAAAGCGCCGATCAACTGTAAAAATCGTCTTGCTAAAAACGGTCTGCGAAGCATGGACCAAATCGTCCAGCGAAATCCCCCATAGGAAAAATCGTTTTGCGAATTGCTATAGCTATTGCAAAAAAAACATCGTCCTGTGGATTACCCGTTTTACAGGTAGGCATGTAAGCTCAACAGGCAGCCAACATTGAGGTGTTTTGCTGGGAAATCATTCCACTGCACAGAAGATCCTTCACAAACAGGCTGACCACTGTGAATCAGTAGCAATCTCTTCCCTAAAAACAAACCAAATTAACTTTCAAATGCATTTATAAAACCAGTAATCATAAAAATAGTGTTGAAAACTAGAATTTCAGTAGCTCCTCTAAATTTAAGTAATTTTAACTAATTATAACAGGATTTTCTCCTTGGCAAATGTGCTTAAGATTGAAAGCTAAAGGGTTTCTTGCTAGTTACACAACCCTTGCAAATATTGTTTCACACAGAATAAAATGGAGGACTCGGTTGAAAACCTAATGTACATCCTAGACCATAAATGTTTTATCTTCAGATAACTACAGTACTCTGCTTTGAACTGAAAAATGAAAACAAGGTTCTCACCGTGTGTGAGAGAGAATGCAGCCGGGTATTATTTGAGGCTATTCACAGGTGCGATTGATTTGAAGATGTATTTATATCACAACAAATGGAGTAAGATAAATGAAAACGCATGATAAAATAAATTAGAGGAAAATCTATGCATTTCTAACACAGTAGAAATTGTATTCCTTGTGTGGTGTAGTGGATAGAATGACAGATTAGGACTGGAAAACAGGGTTCAAATTCCCACTTGGCTATGGAAGCTCACTGGGGGAGTGGAGCTGGTAAAACCCTTCCTTTAATATCTTACTTGCCTTGAAAGCCCTATTAGAGTTGCTATGTCGGTTCTGACTTGACAGCACAGAACACACATAATGTTGTTTGTGTGCTCTCAAGTCACCCTTGACTTTCAGCAACCCCATGAATGAGCAATTTCCAGAATATCCTGTCATCAACCATCCTACTCAGCGCTTGCAAACCCAGGCCTATGATTCCTTTAGGGAGTCAATACATCTCGTATTTAGCCTTCCTGCTGTCTTCCATCTTTCCCAGCATTGTTGTCTTTTTCCACAGAATCCTGTCTTCTCATGATGTGTCCAAAGTCAGGCAGCCTCGGCTTCAACACTTCTGCTTCCAGAGATAGTTCAGATTTGATTTGATCCAGGACCCTCTTGTATGTCTTTCTGGCAATCCAGGGTATCTGCCAAGCTCTCCTCCAGCACATTTCAAACAATACATGGTGACTGGAAATATGATAGTGTGAATGATCTTGGTCTTCATCTCCAGTGACACATCCTTACACTTGATGATCTGTTCTTGTTCTTTCATTGCTGCCCTTTGAAGTTATAATTATGCAAAATTAAGCACAATTAGTCCTTTATGTAGCTTTACATTTGCCCCCAGTCTACCACCAGTCAGTCATCAAATTAAAGGTCGCTATGTTCCCAGCTGTCCAGCAATCTTTGCGAAAAAACGAGAAAGAAATGGAGCTGCCTATTCCAAGAAACCCCCTTCATGGATTGCTGCCTTGTGGCAAACGGGCTTGAGTAATTCAGAGAAGCTAAGGGCTATGTCGTGCAGGGACACCCAAGACGGACAGGTCATAGTGGAGAGTTCTGATTAAACGTAATCCACCTGGAGTAGGATTGGCAATGCCACTCCAGTATCTGCCAAAAATACCTCTTGAACAGAAATAAAAGGCTAAAAGATATGATGCTGGAAGATGGGCCCCTCAGGTCAGAAGGTGTCCAACTTGTTACTGAGGAAGAGCGGAGGACAAGTACAAGTAGCTCCAGAGCTAATGAAGTGGTTGGGCCAAAGCTGAAAGGATGCTCAGCTGTGGATGTGTCTGGAAGTGAAAGGAAAGTCCGATGCTGCAAAGAAAAATACTGCATAGGAACCTAGAATGTAAGATTTATAAACCTTGGTAAGCTGGATGTGGTCAAACAGGAGATGACAAGAATAAACATTGACATCCTGGGCATCAGTGAACTAAAATGGACAGGAATGGACAAATTCAATTCAGATGATTATCATATCTACTATAATAGATATGATAATCATTGTCAACAAAAGAGTGGGAAAAGCTGTAATGGGATATAATCTCAAAAATGATAGAATGATTTCAATACGAATCCAAGGCAGACCTTTCAACATCACAGTAATCCAAGTTTATTTACCAACCACCAATGCTGAAGAGACAGAAATTGACCAATTTTATGAAGACTTATAATCCCTTGTAGAACTGACACCAAAAAAAGATGTTCTCATTATAGGGGACTGGAATGCTAAAGTAGGTAGTCAAGAGATAAAAGGAACAACAGGTAAGTTTGGCCTTGGAGTTCAAAATGAAGCAGGGCAAAGGCTAGTAGAGTTTTGTCAAGAGAACAAGCTGG